TCTAGGAGAAGTGACTTGTGAAAATGTGCGAAAGGACGGGTTAGATACAGTACCAAGCAACAGAGACCCAACTCGAAGGTGATAGATCACAGCTCCTGTATGTTCTCAGTGCTGGAAATTGCAATGACAGGTTTGAGATCTGCAATTTTATGGTTAAACATATTTATAAGACAGAACAGAACGTCCATAAAATTTAACGCATTGCGAGTATATTATGCTAATCAAAGTCGAGCCATTTTTGTAACATGTACTAACATAGATAAATACTTGCCTTGTCGGTCAATGGTTCACGGCCAAACGGCATAGCAGCCTCAAGATACTCAAAGACAAGGTCACCAGGAGAGTTACTGCTAACTTCACTTTCATCGCTCGATGAACCAATGAACGGTTTCTCTTCCAAAGAGACTCTGTATAAGTTCTGAGAAAGGTCTCTACATTCGCTGCTGCCATCGCTACTCATGTCTCTAGGCGAATCACCATCGCTTTCTTCGCCAGCTCTCCTGTTTAAGAACACACATCAAAACAAAAGATTTTGTTTTTATCTACAAAGCAGAAACCAATTGGGAATGAAGAGTAAGCCAAAGAAGCAAAGCAGAAGCAATTTTGGATATTCATGTTTTTGCTGATCTGCATAAGGCAAATCACTGACTAATGTTGAGAGTGTGAAAACAGTTGTGTTTTAGTCATCCAAAAATCACTATTGGTCATCGTATCATAATATATATAGTGAGCATCCGAAGAATAAGTACGCAGGAAAGATATGGCTTCATCTAAGAACATAATTGACTCAACTGCTCAATATCAGATTCCTTACTATAGCTCTTAAAGAGCAAAAGAACCATATCACTCCTCAGCTACTTGGTAAGTAAGAAACATATAATATAAACATAAATGATAGAACTCACCTCCTACTTGTGCAGGCTCTTGATGGGTCTTCATAAAGCTGAATTCCAGAGAGATAAGGAACATAATACTGAACAACCGAATCGCTCCCATTTAAGAGAAGAGGAACCCCAACACCGTAAGCGCTCCACTCCTCGAACGAATCCCACAAATCATTCAGCAAGAAGTAGGGACAATACTCTGGTTCACGAGTTCTCCACCCCTTAATGCTTGTCTAAAAGCAACAACACATATACAATGAGTGAGCCACAACAACAACATATCATCCATTGTTCTAAACGAAGCATCATACCTGTGATTGAATCCTAAAACCTAAAGAAACGATCTTTCATCACCGAAATGCTAAATGCTAAACATTCTAATTCTTCTAAAACTAACTTAGTCCAATTGAAATACTGAACAAACCCCAAGTCGCCGATTTTGAAGTAAAATTCAAAAAACCAAAATCGGAGTATTACCATAGGCAAGTGTTGGGTATGAACAACAGGAGTGGTGCACTCGAGAAACCGGCCTAGATTAGACGAAGTATCGGTGGTGGTGGTGGTCGGCGCAGAGCAATCGGAGGTGGAACATTCCTCAGGCGATTCAGAATCGGAGACAGGTCGTTTCATCTTCTTCTCAGACGCAATAATCTTTCGATCGAGCATCTCTTTAGCCTTCTTCTTCTCTTCTTCAGCCTTTAATTCTGCAAGTCTCTTCTTTTCTCGTTCCTGTTGGAGTTTTCTCATCGGAGGTGGGTTGTAAAACCGATTCTCGCCGCGGATCTTACGGGAAGTCGACATTTTTCAGGTCGGCGATTGAAAAAAGGAGTTGGGTTTTGGTTAGATTGATGTTTAGCG